TAACAGAGTAGCAGCAGCGTAAAAGGATGGGGTGGGGGGGCAGTGCAAATAGTCCGGGTAGCCATGATTAGCTGTTCAGGAGTCTTATGGCTTGGGAGTAGAAGCTGTTGAGAAGTCTTTTGGACCTAGACTTGGCACTCCGGTACCGCTTGCCATGCGGTAGCAGAGAGAACAGTCTATGACTAGGGTGGCTGGAGTCTTTGACAATTTTGAGGGCTTTCCTCTGACACTGCCTGGTATAGAGGTCCTGGATGGCAGGAAGCTTGGCCCCAGTGATGTACTGGGCCGTACGCACTACCCTCTGTAGTGCCTTGCGGTCGGAGGCCAAGCAGTTGCCATACCAGGCGGTGATGCAACCAGTCAGGATGCTCTCGATGGTGCAGCTGTAGAATTTTTTGAGGATCTGAGGACCCATGCCAAATCTTTTCAGTCTCCTGAGGGGGAATAGGCTTTGTCGTGCCCTCTTCACGACTGTCTTGGTGTGTTTGGACCATGATAGTTCGTTGGTGATGTGGACACCAAGGAACTTGAAGCTCTCAACCTGTTCCACTACAGCCCCGTCGATGAGAATGGGGGCGTGCTCAGTCCTCTTTTTTTTCCTGTAGTCCACAATCATCTCCTTTGTCTTGGTCACGTTGAGGGAGAGGTTGTTGTCCTGGCACCACATGGCCAGGTCTCTGACCTCCTCCCTATAGGCTGTCTCATCGTTGTCGGTGATCAGGCCTACCACTGTTGTGTCGTCGGCAAACTTAATGATGGTGTTGGAGTCTGTGCCTGGACATGCAGTCCCTGTGAGACAGGGAGAGTACAGGGGGGCCTGGAGCAGACCCAGAGGGGCCCTGTTAGTGTGAGTTTAGGCATATGTGTTGGGTAGCTTGGACCACTTAAATTTAGTACTGTTCAGGTCAAACAAACATCATCACAAACAGTCAAATAATGTGGGTCCATACTTGCGACCACTTAAATTTAAACAGGTTGTCAGGTACAAAATGCATATCAGCCAATTAGAATTTCGATTTACTTGCAGGATGACAGAACAATAACACTTTCTTCATAAAAGCACCTGGATGTGTGTGAAACAGATAAATAAAAACGTGAGATATGATAATGTTGTCTAACGTTAGTAGTAGCTAGTAGCCTAGTCAAGGATGCATCAATGGAATATTTTCACACAACGTTTGTTACAGATTAATGGAACAAAAATAAACCTTGAATTTGTAGGTTGAAAAATATCCTTTTACTGGCCAGGATTAACCTATTTTAAGAAATGCCATTGGTGGGTGGATATCAAGTCTAAGATCTTTATAGGTTGATGAAGAATTTGTGCCAGGATATAATCAGTGCCACCTATTGAGGTTAGCATAGGGCTAATGTGTGCCATGTTATCTGATGGGACCAGCTGCAACTTACTGTTCTGTCACATGCTAGTAAATCAAAGATTTTAATTGGCTGATAATTGGCTGCCGGAGAAACCTGTTTACATTTACATGGTTGCTTATGTTCGGAAGTTGCACCCTGTGTGTTTGCACTTGTGTGATGAGCATTGCTATTGTGATTTTCCTACAGTGAAAAAAGTCATTTTCACAAATCCATCTTTCTTGGAGGAATATCCTTGTTAAGGCTAGATTGTGGTTGCCATTTAAAGAGCATCCAAGGTGGTTGTGGGGAGCGTGACCTGTTATTTGTGTTGTTGTAGATGAGTGGCCCCCATTAACTCCCAGATGATGGTGGGGTAGCGTGCTGTATCTGTCTGACAACCAATCAGAATTCCTGATGGAGGAGGGTCAGAGGTCGATAAGAGTGACTGACAGAAAGCTGAAGCAGAGATGGGGTAGGAGGGAGATTCAGGGGTTAGATCTGACATCTGCTTATAGTTTGAGTAACATAAATTGTTACTCTAACAGCCTCCTGTGGGATAAATGTGTTATGTTCATATTGATCTGTTACCCCGGATATTAAGTGTACCTGGGATTTTATAGCAAAGTCATTCGTAATACATTGGTTCTTGTGGGGCCTTAGTGGCATTTCTGCCCAGTTCCTATTCACTGTCTTGGGACCAGCCCTAGTTTGACAGGGATGATTGAAGACTGTAGAGGAAAACAGTAACAGAGACTGTAAAGTCATCTGGATGTATTCCTGTGTCTTCCTCTGACTGGTTTTCCTCATCAAGCAATGTGAATAGAGGAGGCTGGTGGGAGGAGCTATAGGAGGACAGGCTCATTGTAATGGCTGTAATGGAAAAAATGGCACGGAGTCAAACGTGGTTTCATTATGTTTGATACCATTCCATTCCAGCCATTATAATGAGCCCATCCTCCTATAGCTCCTCCCACCAGCCTCCTCTAAATTTGAAACGTCCTCTATTTCAGTCTTTAGCACATTCTCTCTTCCTTTCTTGTGTATTCCCTCCTTCAGGTTCTCTACAATCCTTTGGGGGATGTCTAAACCAAGTCTGGCATTATGTTGTTTGCCAATGCATACTTTTACATTTTAGTCATTGAGCAGACACTTATCCAGAGCTAAGAGATAGATTTTTCAACTAGTCGGCTCAGGGATTTGAACCAGCGACCTTTCGGTTACTAGCCCAATGCTCTTAACCGCTAGGCTACCTTCCGCCCCACACACACATACACGCGCACATGCACAGGCACACACACACACACACACACACAAACCACATACACACATACACACACACAAACACACACACACACACACAAAACCAATATCCGCTTAGTTGAAGTCTAACTGATTGTTAGGCCCGGGGGAGAGCAGCCCTGCTAGTCATAGAGGGGTGTTTGCTTATCTGCTGCAATATTGGCCATTTGTCATAATCACGGCACAGCATAGGCTTCTATTGATGGTGAATACAGAGTCATTTTTATAAATGAAACAGAGACAGCTTGCCTGTATAACTGACTGTGTGCTATTTCAGGTTTGTGTTCCTCTGCCCAGGGAAGATGCAGTACAAAGGAGGCAGCAGCATTGTTGCATTGTAATGATTTAGAACTATGAGCACACAATAAGAAGACGACTCTGACAAACACAGCATCCAATACACGTGTTGTTTGTCTCTAGTGTGAAGGGCCTATACAGTTCACCGGAAGTGCAGCTGTATTCCACATCTGTACTGAGGCCATGGCCATAGAATAAATACTTTTTTATGTAGTTTTGCTGTACTGAAACAAAGCGGTATGCTATAGCTAGAGCAATGACTGCACAACTGTAGGACTCAGTATTTAGCGTCTCCTAGGCAGAGTAGTAACTACTGTAAGTAGATGATGTTACCTGAAACCATGGCCCTTTCTTTGATCATTGGCGTTAGTAGTGTATGCTCTGTACTAGGCTGTACTTTAGCTGGGATGTGTAAAGCCAATGACATTTGGGGCTGTGAGGCGAGGTGATAACCAGAGACTGTGGAGCACAGTCGTCACCTTCTCCTGCACCCCCTGTTGCCTCCTACATCTACTGTCACCCCCTGCCCATCCCCCCACCCCTGCTCTCTTAAAATGCAATTTCCTGCTGGCGAAGGCCCTTCGGGGGGGTCTCCGGGTGCCAGGGACACACGGATCTAACACTTCTAATCCTTCTTGCACCCCTGAGCAACCCGATAGGAAGACAATTAGGGAGAGGCATGTAAATGTCACAGGAAGCAGGGACCTCATCACTGAACACCGCAGGGGGTTCTGGGAGAAAACAAACGCCCCCCCCTCGGGCATGGTCGACTGCAGATAGGGATCTGCATGAGTGCACTGCTATTAACAGTCTGAGGGGCATTCTGTTTGTGTTCGCTAATCTAGTTTGGGAAGGAGAAAGTAGCCATAACAAAAAAAAATGCTTCTGAGTTTTTTGATGGAGTGCAAGGCGACATACGCATCAAGATGCCTTAGGAATGCCTAGAGGTATTCATTAGTAGGACTACAGTACTATATAGTAGCAAAACATTTTGTGTAAGTTTTGGTAACTTTTTAATAAAACCTTTCATAGGGTTAATCCATTAAAATCTTGCATAGAAAGTTATTGCTCTCCCATTAAAATGTTCCAGTGGAATTCTCAGAGTGCGTCAGATTAGGAGGAGATCTCACCACCTCTACGGAGTTATTTTCAGAACAGGGTGATAATTGAGCTGTTGCTTTTTACAGCCAAACAGTAGTCTTCTCTCTCGTGTAGCGTCAATGTTTATTATTGGAAATATGAGAGGGAGTTTTCCAGACCAATGACTGGGAAGGGTTTTAGATTAATCTAGCCTGTCAATTTTGCTACTGCACCATTACCTGTGAGTTAGTTAGGGATGATACTTATGAGGACATGTCAGTGATGAGTTCTCCTATAAATTAACAACATATTAGTTATAAAGAGAGTGAGGGAATTTACCATTGTTAATCTCATAAGAAAAAGCTCTGCCTACCCTTCAGCGAAACCAACTAGAGATTTGCCATGATGGGGATTTTGGTCGACATGTTGGCTCAAGTCCTTGTAAAATCCCAAGGGAATGTTTTGAGCTTGATATGGTCAGAGTTTATTGCGATAGCATTCTATTATATCTTTATTCTAATGATATTGAGGGTGAGAACAAAAAGGATAAATGTCCTTGACCAATCTGACCGTATATTGATTTATTTAGCGGTTGATATATCGGTGTTGTTTCCACCCTGCAGGATACAGTGGTTGATATTGTTGTGTTGTGTTTCCACCCTGCAGGATACAGTGGTTGATATTGTTGTGTTGTGTTTCCACCCTGCAGGATACAGTGGTTGATATTGTTGTGTTGTGTTTCCACCCTGCAGGATACAGTGGTTGATATATCGGTGTTGTTTCCACCCTGCAGGATACAGTGGTTGATATTGTTGTGTTGTGTTTCCACCCTGCAGGATACAGTGGTTGATATTGTTGTGTTGTGTTTCCACCCTGCAGGATACAGTGGTTGATATTGTTGTGTTGTGTTTCCACCCTGCAGGATACAGTGGTTGATATTGTTGTGTTTTGTTTCCACCCTGCAGGATAACGTGGACCTGGGAGACCTGATGTTCTCTCTGTGCTACCTGCCCACCGCCGGCAGACTGACCATCACCATGATCAAGGCCAGGAACCTTAAGGCCATGGACATCACTGGGGCATCAGGTAGAACTCAACACTACCTCACACCATATCAACACTACCACAAAAACACATCGTATTTCACTGTGGATTTCTATTCAGTACACTACTATAACACTGTATCCAATTATTGCTATGTGTTTCTATTCAATACTACCTAACATGAACATATGCTGTATACAACAGAAATATGTATGATAGAGAAGACAGAGAGAGAGGAGAGAGAAGAGAGAAGAGGGAGAGAGAGAGGGAGAATTGAGTCTAGCAGCCTCTCTCTCTGAGAGAGGAGAGAGAGAGAGCTCTCTCTCTCTCTCTCTCTCTCTCTCTCTCTCTCTCTCTCTCTCTCTCTCTCTCTCTCTCTCTCTCTCTCTCTCTCTCTCTTCTCTCTCTCTCTCTCTCTCTCTCTCTCTCTCTCTCTCTCTCTCTCTCTCTCTCTCCTTTCCTCTCTTCATCTCCAGACCCGTATGTGAAGGTCTCTCTAATGTGTGACGGTCGGAGATTAAAGAAGAGGAAGACCTCCACTAAGAGGAACACTTTGAACCCTGTCTACAACGAAGCCATAGTCTTTGATGTCCCCCCAGAGAACATTGACCAGATCAGCCTTATGATCGCCGTCATGGACTACGACCGGTGAGTCAATGGACTTTAACTCAGAGATCCAATAGATTTGAACTCAGTGACTCAGTAGCTTTTCAATTGTGGTTCTTATGCAGTATATACCTCTGTGCTACTTGTCAGTCTCTCAGGCTTCTTATAGCCTCTTGAGAGAGTAGATACCTTCAGTCAAGACAATACTGATTCAGAATTGATGCAAGGCCTATAGAGGGTTAAAAAGCTTTCAAGGCAGAGAGGAGTGAAATAGAGAAGGTTACATTACCCCAGGGCCTCCTATCTTGTGGGTAGCATTCCAACATCTCCTTGGCTTTATCTTCCTTCTAGTCTTTCTCTCATCTCTTCTTAATTTAGCACCGCTATGTTTTTCTACCATAGCAAATGTATCATCATTACTGTGAAGGCAGACATATTCACAAGATCACCTAGCTTTGAATGACTGTTCTGTCACACCATTATTGAAAATATACTCTCATTCTGTCGCATCATTCAGTTCTGTCACACCATTCATACAGACCCAATATTAATGTTATTTCCTGAGATTTCACATCCCATCATACATTTTGGTTGATACCCTATTCTTCACTGAATTCACACATTTTCAATTAGTCATGTGATTCACTTTTAGATCCACACAGGGTTACTGTAATGTTACTTTAATGTTCTATCTAAAGTTAGGAATACATTTGTAGGTTTATCTTACTACCCAAGTAAACATTAAGTTTAGATAGAGACAGTACTCCTTCATCTCCAGTCCGAAGGCAGGAGTAATGAAGGTCTCTGTGTGTCTCCCTATCCAGTGTAGGCCATAATGAGGTCATCGGGGTGTGTAAAGTGGGCAACGATGCAGAGCACCTGGGCCGAGACCACTGGAGCGAAATGCTGTCGTATCCGCGAAAACCCATCGCCCACTGGCACCCGCTCATAGAGGTAAAGCCGGTGTGTGTGTGTGTGTGTGTGCCCACATATGTGTCTTTGTTTCTAATGGATCATTTTCAAGGTTTGTCTCAACCGAAATAGGTTTGTTTGCATACTGTCAAAATAGCCAACATCTTTGAGTTGACTAGTTTGACCGATGTCTGGTGGTTTCAGACTTCAGACGGTTGAGTGCCGTTACCTGCCACAGAAACTCATTCAAAATTATTATCCTCTTTTCTAAGGCCTCATTCTTCTCAATAATCAATACCCTAAGAGGCTCTTAACCTCTCTATCTCCCAGCGCAAAAAATCCTCCATTGTTAAAAACAACCGCAGCAGAGAATGGCAAGGCTCTCAGCGAGTAGGTCTACCTTGATGTTTTGAAGTTGTTGTTAAGCCAAATCTACTAAGAAAAAATACAATTAAAATCAGACTTTCATGTGTACAGGTGGTCAATGGTAGTTACTTCCCAAGCATGGCAGCAAGAATACTGATTCTTCTGAAGAAGAATCAAGGCCTTTCTACATTTCATGTCTACATTGCATTGTATAAGATGTTATTATGTACAAGGTAGCTGAACAATGTATACATACAATAGCTGACATTAATTGGAAATATATTTTCCCCCCAAGGTATAAGAATACATCTATTATTATTATTATTATGGCAGAGTGTGGAGAGGAGTGTTGAGGAGTTGAAGGAGAGAGTGTGTGACCTGTACACTCAGCCTTGAGTAATGGCTTTATTGTGTTGGCATCAAAGGAGAGTGTCTTCCTGTTGAACACAGCTGAGTGAACCACCAAGGTCTAGAGAGGGAGCGAGGGAGAGAAAGAGACAGACAGACAGACAGATAGAGAGAGACATACTGTAGATGAAGTGAAAGAGACAGTAGGAGAGCAAGAAAAGAGGTAGAGCGACAGACAGAGCAGGATTTGAGAAATGGAACAATTAAGCAGACTATTCTGTTTGCTTCAGGGTTACTTACTTAATTACATTATGTGACTATGCTTTGAAATCCTCATTTGAGCCCCCAGGAAAGCACATCTATTATTTAGCAGTCTGCCTCCCCAGCCATTTGAATCAATGTTGTTCTGCCTTCACAAGGCCCTCCCCCCAAAAATCACATATTCAAAACACGCCCGGGACGCAAAAGGACTTCAAACGCAACTATGTTTGTTTATGTTTGTTTGCTCTGTAACCCATCACTCTCTCCCTCACTCTCTTTCTGTAATGGCTTCTGTCTTTTTGCTTTTTAGCCAGCAAACAAAACAATTACTGTCAAGAAGAACTGACCCTTTCACTGGAAAATAGATCTGACCTCGCTGAGATGAAAATAGAGGAATACATTTTTCTGCTTGCTTAACTAACCGATTCTAAGCGGCTAGATTTCTGCAAGCGAAAGAAGAGAATCAATCAAGAGCTTTCATGTTGAAGTGCTGGGAGTTTGAGAGAATCTTTGTTTTCACTACGGGTGCTTTAGAGAGTAGTTCTGTTTGGCAGTCCTCTAAGGAGGATTCAGAGGCAATAAAGATCATTTCCAAAACAGATTTTAGTGTGACACAGCTTGTTACTTAGCACATACAATTAGTGAGAGAGTCTTGAATTAGTGAAATCGTATTAATGTCTTTAGGTTACAATTGCTGCTTATAAGCTTTAACTACAATGCAATGAACTTGACCTACTAACAGAACTCACAATTGAATCGGTTAATCAAAGTACCAGATTTGGTCAATACACTGAACCGAAGTGATCTGTTATCTTCATCCCCTCTACAGAATGTCTCTAGGACTACTAATCTACATGTACACAGCTATCTTTATTGGAGATGTATCTCTCTCTCTTCTCTCTCTCTCCCACAGTACCAAGGCACCACAGGCGGGAGCCAGGCAGGGTCCTGTAATTCCCTGAAGACTCCTCCGTCTCCGTAAGCGTCTGGTCCTTCCCGGAATACGACCACAAGGAGAAGAGCCAGGCGGACCAGCCCAACCATAGGAGCATCGGCCTGCTGAGTGGTCGACATACGGTTATACGTCACGACTGTGTGCTGTCGATTTCATGGTTATCAGAGACCAACCATTGTCAGCTCTGTGTCTCTGGGACAGGACTTTTGCATGGCGAGCTGGATTGATTCAGTTGCATGTTGAGTTACCACATAATATGGTTGTTTTCTTTTTTATTCAGTTCCAAAAAGAAAATCGATGACAAAAACAACCAGGCGGTTTTAACAGTTTGATCTAAGCCTGAGTTTGAAGTAACCGTTTTTTACATTAGTCTTGTTCTACCTGTTTGTAATGGGGTGTGTCTGTATTGCACAGTGTACTTAAAAACGACCAGTCGAACTGACATACATATTTCATTTGGAAACGGTGCATGAGGTCATGGGTTTTGGTGGAATATCTTCTCCTCAGTTGTTTTCTGTTTCTGTTCTTGGAATAGAATGTGAAGTTCTGTCAGATGATCACATGACGTGCAGTGGCAATTCATTTCTTAGACTTAGTACCTGTACGTAAAAATGTTCTTTCAAATGTTATCAATAAATATTTATTAATAAAAAACAGCTGGGTGGTCAATTTTAATATTCCTCGCCTGTTGCTATGACAACCACAGATTCTCTTGAGGCGTTAAAAGGCAAGTGTAAAACCAGATGGTAATGAAAACCAACATGCCTAATCTGATCATGTAAATTATTACAATTATTGTGTGTAATTGGGGGACGTAAGCTAAATGTCAAAATAAACTAGCAAAAGGCACAAACTGAGTGACCGTGAAATAGAGAGCGGGGGAGAGACGACCAAGACCAGAGAGAAGGGGAATCAAGAGATAGTCATATGACATTAACAGAGAAATGTGTGTGTGCCTGTGCGTGTGAGTCTAAGTGTTTTTCTGAGAGATGGAGATGGGGTCTAGTCATGTGTTTTGTACCTTGTCGATAATCCGTTGTTTATTTTAGCATATTACAAATCCTATCAATGAGATTGCACCCGAGTGGATAACCATGACAGGAAGAAATGCCTGTATTAGTGAGCAGGTTACTATTGACTCCACATAGAAACCAATGCCAAATGAACATCTGCTCGGAACATTCACAGATGACTTATCAATATGCTTTAGAATAATCTGGATACATGCCTAGTTGCTAACCACTGTTTCACTTTATCAGCTGGGTTCAGTCAATAATACTGTGTTGCTATGCATACCTCTTGGGGATACATGTATTTGTACATTTGAGGCTCTGACAGAATATTGACTCCACTGTTTCCTCCGGTATCATACAGGCTCGTCAGTTTTAGAGCAAGCTGATTGGCTATCGAACCATGTGTCTCCTCATTGCGTAGGCTGCGTGTTCTGGGGCTAAATTAGTCCACCGTTGCTCTCCATGGATTAGCTGCCTCCAGTGATGATGAGCTGTGATTTGTCACTGTCAGAGAGAATGTTTTCAATCAGACATGCCTGCCCCTCACAGAGTGCCAGAAATCAGAGTCTGATGGAGTTGTACCTTCTCCATATGCTGTTCTCAGGTCAATTTAGCATGTTCCTCCTAATGGTAAAGTTAGGGATTAGGAGGGTAAACTGATCCTAGATCTGTGCCTACTACCCGCAGCACTAGAAGTGTGGTGTTCTAATCTAACAAGTTGTACCTCGTGTTTTCAGATATACTGTAGACCAGGATATGTCTACCATGACTTCTGTTGAATATCCATGTTTCCTTTTCTGCTGTTTTTAGTGATTCATGACTTTATATGTTGAACTCTACCTGAATGATGACTGCCTTTGTATTGACTTTAGTCATGGGAATCATGTAACATCTGTTGTTCTTTGGACTTTTACCATTTCTGGAAATCACTCTTATGGCTGCTGTGAAGGTTAACCACATTTACCAGCGCTACATCATAGCTCCATCCACGTCTATAACAAGCCAACATTGTGTTAGTTTTGAGTATGACAAGAGAGAACTCTAGGAACTGGAGCCATCCATTTCTTTCTTAGCTGAGTATGTCATCAGCAGTGGTGTAAAGTATTTCAGTAAAAATTATTTAAATTTCTACTTCATTAGTTTTCTTTTGGTATCTGTACTATTTATATTTTGGACAACGTTTACTTCACTACATTCCTAAAGAAAATAATGTACTTTTTACTCTGTACATTTTCCCTGACACCCAAACTACTCATTACATTTTGAGTGCTTAGCAGGACAGGAAAACGGTCCAATTCACTCACTTACAGTATCTAGAGAACATCCCTAGTCATCCCTACAGCCTCTGATCTGGCAGACTCACTAAACATACATGCTTTGTTTGTAAATTATATCTGTGTTGGAGTGTGCACCTGGCTATCCGTAAATAAAATACAAAACTTGAAAATGGTCTGCTTTGCTTAAATGATTTATACTTTTACTTTTAATACTTAAGTATATTTTAGCAATTACATTTACTTTTGGTACTTAAGTATATTTAAACCAAATACTTTTAGAATTTTATTCAAGTAGTATTTTACTGTGTAACTTTCACTTTTACTTGAGTCATTTTCTATTAAGGTATCTTTACTTTTACTCAAGTATGACAACGGGGTACTTCTTTCACCACTGGTCATCAGCCTATACATTCTCTCCCTACATATGGGACACTTTAGAAGATGAGGCGTGACACCATTTAGATGATGGTGATGATGCAACGTTCACTAAAGCAGGGCAATTTCCCATTTCTATGAAGCCTACAGGATGCTTTGGAAATAGAATTAGGAATTAGAATACTAGAATGGATATGAACCTTCTTATGATGGTCTAAAGCATCAGCTATTTTGGTCAGGGACTTGGTCAAACATCAAATCAAATCAAATCAAATCAAATTTTATTGGTCACATGCGCCGAATACAACAGGTGCTGACATTACAGTGAAATGCTTACTTACAGCCCTTAACCAACAGTGCATTTATTTTAAACAAAAAAAGTAAGAATAAAACAACAACAAAAAAAGTGTTGAGAAAAAAAGAGCAGAAGTAAAATAAAGTGACAGTAGGGAGGCTATATATACAGGGGGGTACCGTTGCAGAGTCAATGTGCGGGGGCACCGGCTAGTTGAGGTAGTTGAGGTAGTTGAGGTAATGTGTACATGTGGGTAGAGTTAAAGTGACTATGCATAAATACTTAACAGAGTAGCAGCAGCGTAAAAAGGATGGGGTGGGGGGGCAGTGCAAATAGTCCGGGTAGCCATGATTAGCTGTTCAGGAGTCTTATGGCTTGGGGGTAGAAGCTGTTGAGAAGTCTTTTGGACCTAGACTTGGCACTCCGGTACCGCTTGCCGTGCGGTAGCAGAGAGAACAGTCTATGACTAGGGTGGCTGGAGTCTTTGACAATTTTGAGGGCCTTCCTCTGACACCGCCTGGTATAGAGGTCCTGGATGGCAGGAAGCTTTGCCCCAGTGATGTACTGGGCCATACGCACTACCCTCTGTAGTGCCTTGCGGTCGGAGGCCAAGCAGTTGCCATACCAGGCGGTGATGCAACCAGTCAGGATGCTCTCGATGGTGCAGCTGTAGAATTTTTTGAGGATCTGAGGACCCATGCCGAATCTTTTTAGTCTCCTGAGGGGGAATAGGCTTTGTCGTGCCCTCTTCACGACTGTCTTGGTGTGTTTGGACCATGATAGTTCGTTGGTGATGTGGACACCAAGGAACTTGAAGCTCTCAACCTGTTCCACTACAGCCCCGTCGATGAGAATGGGGGCGTGCTCAGTCCTCTTTTTTTTCCTGTAGTCCACAATCATCTCCTTTGTCTTGGTCACGTTAAGGGAGAGGTTGTTGTCCTGGCACCACACGGCCAGATCTCTGACCTCCTCCCTATAGGCTGTCTCATCGTTGTCGGTGATCAGGCCTACCACTGTTGTGTCGTCGGCAAACTTAATGATGGTGTTGGAGTCGTGCCTGGCCATGCAGTCATGGGTGAACAGAGAGTACAGGACGGGACTGAGCACGCACCCTTGAGGGGCCCCCGTGTTGAGGATCAGTGTGGCAGATGTGTTGTTACCTACCCTTTTTTCATTGGCGAGATGGCGCCGGAGAAGATGGCTGCCGTTTTACAGCCCTCTAACCAACCCTCTAACCAATTGTACTATTATGTGTGTTTTTCCGCGTTATTTGTAATTTATTTTGTACATAATGTTTCTGCCATCGTCTCTTATAACCAAAAAGAGCTTCTGGATATCAGGACAGCGATTACTCACCTCGCATTGGACGAAACATGGTTTGCCAGTGCTGTGATAAGATATTGTGTAAAACAATGAATTTTGCTAGCTATAGCCAGCCAGTTTTAGAGGAATGATTCCATAAATTTTTCAAATTATGCCAATATGCCAATATTCCATTTAAACAATGCAGTCAATCCACAGCATACACTTGCTGAAATCAGTTGATGATAGGATTTAGACAAGTTTTAAATGCAACAAGTACTGATATTGTATAATATAATAACACTCACAGCTTTCTAAGAAAATACAAATGTTGACATTTACGGTCTGTTTACATATATTTTAGAGGCTATTTAGACCGAAAATGTGTATAAACCTGTATAAACTGCATTTATAATTATATGTCAATATTTTGGGGTTACAATATTTCTATTACACAACTTCTGATATTTCTCATACCTTTCTTTTATTTTCTTGCAGAAGTAAAAACAGGAAATGCATCACCGATGCCTCTACTGCCATTCATTCCAATTAGACTGGTTTTGGATTTCTCCTGACGAAAATAGCTGCCTTTATCACCCCCATCTCTAACTGTGAGGGATTACGACATAGACCCTTTTGTAATTTAATAGGATTCTATGGAGTCGACCACCAGACGACATGGACAGATAAACTGTCTTTCTGTGTGTGGTGTGTGTGTGTGTGTGTGTGTGTG